GGAGAAGGGCTTATGCGAGCATCTTTTTCCTCCCGGAATCAGAGACGGACCCAGGAGGGGGGGGGGCAAGGGGGCACGTGCCCCCCCCCGGGCCAAAACAAAAAATAGTGATCACCCCCCCCCCCCTTCCCCCGCTTATTCAGCAGCCGGCTGAGTCGTTGGGACATTTTCGGCCCGATTAAAAAAAAATAACCCCACCCCCTTGAAAACATCCTGCGTACGCTACTGATTTCACCCCATGCCATTTTTTGCCCCCCCCCTCCCCCCCCTCGTAAGAAAATCCTGGATCCGCCACTGCGGAATATACAATAAATGAGTGGTAAACATGTGTGTGTGTGGGGGGGTGGGGGGGGGGGGGGGTTGTCATCTAAGCATCACTGTTAGTATCAAATGACTGATCTGTGAATTTAAGCAACTGTATTTGCAGAAAGCTTTTCGGTAAGCCTGTCTAAAAACATGCCTGCGTAGCAATGAAAGGAATTACTCTCACAATAAAAAAAAGACACTGAGACCTAATGGGTGAATGAACGAAGAACAATAAACTTTTTAAACAAAATATGAGTATGCTAGAGGGATAATGACAATTATAATAAGGATGGTGAAGATACTGGCGACGATGATGATGATGAATGTGATAATTATCATGGGGTACTGATGGCGATGCTGATGATGATAATGGTGATGATGGTGATGATGGTCATGATGATGATGGTGGTGGAAGTGGTTATGATGATGAAGATGAAAATCATTATGATAGTTTAATCCTATTAATTATCATGGGCGGATCTAGACAGGTAAGAACCGCCTGCGTACCAGTTTAAAAACAAATAAACAAAGGAACAAAAATCATCTCAGTTGCTAGGGGAGGTATGATGCAATTTCATGTTCACCAAATTTTTTTTCCACCCCTTTTCTAACAACCCTGTTTTACCATAACTTTATCGACTTACGAAAGAATTGGAGCAGAAGAAAGAGAGTTGCGTACTTTAATGAGAGTCTTGGCAATGGAGGAAAAAAGACAGCTTGTTATTTGTTTTGCTACCGAAAGAATATGCCAATGATCTCCGAGAAGGCAAATATGTTAAAGTGACCTGGTAACATTGTTGAAGTTTGATGAAAAAATTGCTTAATTTTTGGTATAAAAATGTGACTTATCATGTTCCCTCAACTGTACTAACCCTCTGACATGCAAACAATCCTTAACAAATTCTCAAACCACGAAAATATTTATGGTTTTCTATGAAAGCGTCACTGTGCAACACGCTCTAACAGTGATTAGCAGTAAATTCTCCCATAATTTTTGAATTTTCCCAAACATATTTTCTTGAAAAAAAAGACATAAAATAGGCTATTAAAAATCTTCCGACACCTAAATGTCTTGAATGGTATGTAGAGCCAATTTATTGCTTTGTAACGATTTACATATACCTAACATGTTATCAATATGTTTGTAATAATATAGTTGGAAGAATTAAGGAATCGATCAGATCAGTTTTTCCCGATTTGTATCATTAATAATGGTCCGATTTCACTCAAATTTTCAGATTATCTTTAATTGTACATCTGGCATTGAGGTCACTACCTTAGCACCGCATTCTCTCATCTGAACAATGTTATCAAATCCCTTTAAAGCTGGTAAGTTGAGATAACTATTTCAAATTCATAATAGGTGTATCTGGAGACTTTTCCAGAAATGACTATGATATTCGATGGACCATATTATGTCTTCTGATATGAAATTTAAGAACTAGTTGTAATATTTCGGTGATAACATTTTGCTTCCTGTCTTTTTTAGGTGAATATCCAGAAGTAACTGTTATGTTCAGTGAAATCGTGAAGTTTACAGACATGTGTTCCCGTTGTGAACCAATCCAAGTTATTCATTTCCTCAACGAAATATATAGCATGTTTGATAAATTAACCACTAGCAATGGTGTGTATAAGATAAGCATTGTCAGCTTTATTTATACAAATAGTTAACAAGATTGATTATATCTTTACAGTGCGCATATTTCGTTTCAATATTATGTTCCATGTTTCTTAGTGTAGGTCTTAATCGATAAACGAATATTCAAAATAATTTAAAGGTGCCCTTGGCATCAACAGTAAGGAATCTTTAAACAATTAAATTATTATGTGCTGTATTGAAGGAAATGTTATTGCTATGTAAAAGTATACGGCATTTCTAAGGCAAAGAAAGATCTTTTTAGTCTGTCATGATTAGATTGTGCTTAAAACCCCATAAAGATGAATATATAAATATTAAGACCATTACACCCAACTGCAAAATAAAATGCTTAAGCATTACTTGGACCATTTAAAGAGAGAAAAATCCCTGATAATGTACGCCCAATGTGGGGTTATACCAATGTCTAAAATGGTATAAATTTGCTTGACGCTATTAACAACGTACGATGATTGATATCTTATTAATGTTTCAGAGATCTGCATAGTGTATTTTGCTTACACTTAAGAGAATAACTGATAAAATAACGATGGTAATAATAAAAATAACAACTTTGATGATAATAACAATGAAATATCCGGATATATGGCTAATTAAGTATAACTCTTTAACAACCTTTCTCAGATCACTGAGTCGGTCATTTTAGGCTTTTTAAAATGACCGTGTGTTTTGATTGGATATGGGAGTGCTTAATAACAGAGTCGGTATGAAGCTTTGCGCTTGCAGCCCAGTAAATGCGAAAAAAGTCACTTGCGATGAAGGAATAAGAAAGTGATGAGTGTTTTCTTTCAACATCATTCCTGAAAGTTTATACTTTCTTACTAATAATGTTAATAATAAAATGCACTTTTAGCGCTAAATACATCAACGATGTCTCTAAACGTTCTACAGATATATTATGACCCAGGTCATCGGATCAAGCCTTGCTCGCACAAAATATATGCAAATTCTCCACTCCCTGGGGAAAGATCCAGTAACACCCATGTTGACTCGCCTTTACTGGTTACCTGGAAAAGAAAGAATTGTTTATAAAGTTCTTATGTTGCGTACTTGCGTCACAAGGTAATGATTCTTAAATTCCCGACTTATCTTCTTGATATTATTCGTTCTTACATGCCCGGCAGAAATCTCCGCTCCTCAACAAAGAATTTCATGACTGTCCCTATCACATCAACCTAAACGTTTGGTTCTCGTGCCTGTCCTGTGGAACTAACTTCCTGACCAGCTTCGAGATGTTGGAAGCACTGACAGTTTTGGAAAAGCCCTGAAGACCGATATTTCGGTAGGGGGGGGGGGGGGGGGAGGGGGGTAAGGTCACTTTTTTGTCACCCTTTGGGGGGGGGGTTCCTCCAAAATATACACATAAAAAGAAAATTGAGGGGGATTAAACCCACAATACCCCCCCCGCCCCCTCCCTGCGTACGCGCCTGCTACTTCTAATATTAGATTCTGCACGACGAGAAATCGAACGCGGACTGCCCTTTAAAGGCAAAGTGAAGTCACTGCCAGTGCCTTAAAAGGACGTCACATTGCCTTAAAAGGGCAGTCCACGTTTTCTTCGTGCAGAATCTAAAAGTCCCTATTACTATACTTCAACTATTACTACTACTACTCCTCCTTCTTCTATACCTCCACTCTGCCAATAAAATGCTTTTACAGGGCGCATTATAAACCTTTGTAAATAACTGATATCAAGATCATTATGGGGACAGTTTTCAGTATTAGCATATATTTCTGTTCTCAAAGCTTTGATAATATGAATTTCTCGAAAGCCAAGGCATAATTAGTTTAATTTGTATTTTTTATAATAACACTCTGGTTTCTGGGGGGGGGGGGGGGGGGGGGGGGTGAGCACTATTTTTTTTTTTTTTTTTGCTCCGAAAATTTGAAAATCGCGCCGGCCGAAAATTCGCTAAGTGGAGGGAGTGGGGGTGGGGGGGGGGGGGGGGGGGGTGGGGGGTAGTTTAGTGAGCACATTTTTTCTTTTGGCCCTCGAAAATTTGAAAAATCGCACGTTTTTTTCCCCAGAGAACAGAACACACGCCCATCACTTGATTAACCATATGCCCCTCTTGATCGCCTTCTTTTCATCTGATATGCCCTTAGTTACCTATTTATAACAGAATAGATGCCCTTCCTTTAAATATAGTTAGACAGGCCTCAAGCAGTGACTCGTTTTTAATTCCTTTTTTTGTTATTACTGCACTTCTTTTTCAAGTTTAACCATAATAACGGAGCTAAATGTTTAATGCCTATTCTTAAAGTAAATCAAAAACATAAACAAAAACAAAACAAAACAGAAACAACAAAAACACATCTTGCTTGGAAAAGTGATTTAAGCTTTCATTTGCCAAAAAAGTGTGTCTATTATCATTATCATGGCCAACAAAGCGAATAATACAATGTAGTCAGAGCGAACAAAAGTGCAATTTTACCCGTTTGAGTCATGTGTATCAAATTAAGAAAACATTTTAGGAGGGATATGTCACTAATTAGAAGGTTCGATCGCAGCTCTTTAGTGAAAAATGCCAATTCATACAAATTTATCGCATTTTGGTGGTTACGATAGTCATGGAAATTTTAACTCATAAAATGCATATACATGCATGTAGTTATTATGCAATGAATTTACATGTAAAATACTGTGTTTATGTTTTCATTTGTAATAATCATAACTATATAAACATATTTTCCACAGAAAATACGATATCAAAATATTCTGCATTGTTGCAAATTTATATACGATTTTATACATTTTATAATTTGGGTTGGTATAATGGCATACAATTTCTACTCTCGATTTTATTGACAAAGTGCAACTAAATTTTGTTTTATTGGATAGAATATTTTTTTCCGAATGATATGACATACAAATTGTCAATTCTGGTTGAGGCGTTTTCGTTCTACTCCTATTTTCGTGAAGCAATGTCGTTCTCAATAATGTAATGCAGTCGCAATGTTCAAAGAATCAATAGCACTGAAATTGAATAGCGCCATCAGCAGCTCATACGCGCTCAGTGCAGATCATATTCCGACTCGACTCGACTCATTGATCGCAGGCACCTGATCGAGACTAGAATAGAAAGCCAGTGCTTCAGAATACTTCTCTATTAAAGCAAACCTTATTCATCTCTTTCTTTAGCTAATGCCGCTGTGAATTATGCCAATTCAACCTACTTCACGTCCATCAACATAATGTGAAATAGTTACGAATGGAAACATGAAAATCACTCGCGTTTGTGTTTATGCATGAGCGGCATCATTGGTCATTCACTGGCCCTATCTCTCGGCGTACAAGTGTGGCAGTGAACCGTAGCTCAGCTCTCAGCAGCTAGCAGCCTGCAGTCACAGGTACTCTCCGCTCAACTCAGTGACTTTACAGACAGTCTCAAACTAAGTGTGAACCGGTAGGTACTTTTAATTTTATTTCTACATATATATTTAAAAATAAATAGCTTTAGCCAGTATTCTTTGGATTTAGTCAGTCAGGGGGTCACAATTATATGAAACCGTGACTCTGTAACATTGTTGTTGAAGGTTGATGAAAAAACAGCGTCATTTTTGTATGAAAATAAATAGGGAGGCCAATACCAAAAGCTAAATTCTTAATTTCACATTTATCAATGATAGAACTAGTTTTAAAAGAAAGCAACTATCTTATCTAAAGCTATGGTCACAAATCGGAGCAGCGACCGACCGATCAGTAGCCTGCTCGGTCCCTGCTGGAATTAGGCATCGCCCAGCGATTAGGTCGGTGCCCGGGCGGCGACCGCCCAGGCACTGAGCGTATTTTGGACGGCTAGTGAAAAGTGAGCAGGCGCCGCCCAAATTTTAACTCCGCGCTAAAACTTCAGCGGCGACTGAGCGATGCCCTAAAAACGAGCGGTGCCTGGGCGGCCGCCGCTCGGTGGCCGGGCAGCCGCCGGGCAGAATTGGTTAAAAACTCGCCGCTCGGCCACCCAGCAGGCTACTTTTGGGTAATGTGACCATAGCATAAGACAACTCACCCATCCACCAACTCCAGTAATGTCATAAAATAGCTCCAAAGTTGGGGATTCTTTCTACGCTACTCGGCACGGAGAACTTTGCGCACATACTACATAGCGCTGTAATAAAAATAATAATAATTAGTGGGTTTTTGTATACTGTAGCACTCATGTCTGTCATACGTGACACTCCTGGCGCTCCCAACACTGTACACTGTTGGGAGCGCCAGGAGTGTCACTAGTATAAGCACTCTTATTGGCCGATCCGCTCGAGTGGCTTCGAATTTAAGTGAGAGAGGGCCTACTTAACTTATTAAAGCGCAATTTAGGTCAGGTGACACACTTCAAACATAACTGAGGTACACACAGCTTTGCTAACACATAAAATAGAAAAATCAACGAACATCTCAGAATAAATTTCCAGTTTGTAGTACCTTGAATATGACGAAAATGAGAATTGTTCAAACTTAATAAATAGTTAAGTAAAACTTAAAGGTACTATATCCCATTTGCAGGCCAAAAAAAGTTGTCGAATCGACTTCAAGGAGCTATAATGTAGAGCCAGTAAGTAATATAGTCTTGATTTTCAGACCATTGTACCAAATGGTCGTACGTTTCATGCTGCGCAAAGATTCAATCAGTTTTAATTTTGGCCATCACAAGAAGTGGGTTATTGATATAGACAAATGCTCATGTACCCTTTACAATTACAGCTCATTTTATGTATGTTATTACCGAAGAAGAAGAAAAGCCAGCCAGTCACTCAATAGGGTCTGACAATGAAGTATAGCACATAGACGGGTTTCCTTGCATAATTTGAATACTAGGACACTGCTAACGTTTAAATTTGACAGATAGGACATACATGACAAATTGATAATTCCTGCAAAGTTCTACAGAATTTGAGGTTGGCTGCAAAAGGGACATAGTATCTTTAAGTGAAATAGAGGGTTTGACTGAAATATCATAATTTTGGTATTGAAAAAAAACACAGAAAAATCGCAAGCTTGCTCCTCGCACAAATATCTTCTAGCATTGAGTCCATCGAGAACAGCGATAGCCAATCTGAAGGGTCCATGTCGGCTAGGCTAGGCGCCAACTTATAAAAATGAGGCTGAGATCGGATGAACGATCTGCACTTGCGTTAATTGTTAAAGTTCTCTGTGTGCTAATCTGTCCGTAAGAGGCTTAACAAACTTAAATTTCATGGTCACTAATTTACGTTCAGAAATAGACCGGCCGGAGGGAATGGCCCTGTCATTGCCGGGACAGAGTCCAAAATGACATTAAAACTCTGTGCGAGAGTACAATCGCTAGTCTTGAATCAGTCGCAGACACTGACACAGACAAGCCGCAATCCTGAAATTTACCCATCAATGTGCGTACGAGCTGTAGTTCAAATAAAAACATGCAGTCTTTAAAAATTCATTAAAAATCAAGATTAATTGATTAAGAATAACCGTAGATTAGAGTTGTATTCCGATATTCCAATAACTTTATTTCCCAATGAGTAATGATTTCAGTCTACAATCAACAAGAATGACCTCCTGTATTCCTCTTGCAGTGCTCGAAACTCCATCTATATCTACGTATGTACCAGTATATGTTTCTCTCTCTCTCTTTCTACACGTAACACATGATCTTCATAATTTATCAATTGGAGTATAGACTGTTATCCAGTCATCTTTACTGAAATATCTTTTTAAACAATTCCCATACATGACACCGTGTCTAGTGCTGTGAGAATAAGAGACTAGGTGTGAGACTACGCTACACATGTTCAGTCGCGTGATCTCTTAGCAGCTCATTCACATTCAACATATTCTAGGCATGAAAAATGAGCTCACCTTTCACAGTTTTCCCTCTCATTTTGAGATGGCTGTAGCCATGGGGCTCAAAGCAACTCAAGATTGACATAAACATTGTCTTCTATATCTTACAATCTTTGCATTAAAAGAAAGGCACACGCTCTACTTTAATCTGACTTTACTGTCAGGTATGTTCTTTAAAGGCAGGCTTTACTATTTCAGCTAGAAGGGATTAGACCACCCAGCGAGCCAGCGAGGTCACTGTGACAGGTGGCTATCTCATTAACTCAGCTCTCATTTAACATAAGAAAAAGAGGATCACAGGGGACCAACAGGCACTGATTGGGGAAGTTTTCTATATAGAGGGAGCAAGTAGCTACAAGTAGGACAGTGTGCCTTTAAAGCAGTTCTGTAAAATGCCCCCCCCCCCCCAGTAAAAGGAAAAAAAATAGAAGAAGAAAACAAATAACATAAAATACTCTCTATAGATAACTACAGGTACAAACCCAAGGGAGACAAAAAAGGGGTCTTTGTAGACAGGGGGTCTTTCTACAGGTGGCCACTAAATCAGATTTGAATGATTTATAGAATTTCCTTTCCCCTTACCATTGCCGATAATTCAACTACAGTATCTATTTTGTAATGAGGGCATTGCCATTATTATTAAAAGAATCAAATGAAAAGAATACGTTCATTGGGCATTAACGGGTATGCAAGTCACCTGTCCTATTTCCTGAACAGGTAATGTTGGCATATATGATCCCAGCATTATCAAGGTTTGACAACAAATCCGGCACATAACAAGGGTCTCATTTATAATGATATATGCAAAATGTACTGTACATGAAGGTAGGTGAGTACAAAATAAATTTATTATTGATCTAGTTTTATTGGTGTCCTGTATCCTTTGAGAATGATTACAGTTATAATTCATAACTATCATAATTTACTTTATCATGATTGTAATAATTTAATTCATCATATTTAGAATAATTTACTTTTTATCAGTATTGTAATAATTCACTTTACCGTAATCTTTATTGTCATTCAAATTAATCAAGCACTTTACTGAGATACAGTGTAGATAGTCATGGACTCTGCACACTTGTATTTGTGAATTACATGTTGACTCATTCAACTTCCAAAATGCAAAGATTTGGTTTGTATCGAATGATCTGAGGGTGCGGGCATTGTAGTTGATTTCTATTCATCGATTTTATTGAATAGTATGAGGGTGGAGGCTCAATGATTCTTTATTGTGTGCGATGTCATGCCCCTGAACACTCCCCATTCTACCAAGGTTATGGGAACTTAAGAGATCATACATAGTGCAGTGGATACTCATAGTGCTAACACTGCTAAGTAAGCTATCTTCTTTCCCTTTTCTAACTCTAACTCAAAATAAAGATGTGATGTGCGCAGTATACAAGTCTTGTGCTGTATACGTACTTGTCATACATGTAACAGTAGTGCAGGTCTTCTAAATGTTGCTATTGAGCAGGGGCGCGTATTCAGGATTTTCCAAAGGGGGGGGGGGGGGGGCGTGAAATGTACGAAAATGCTTGGGGTCAGAGGTCCGCTTAAGGGCCCGTGAACATTTTGAACCTTAAAGACATCACTTAACAATTGTTAAATCTGAGATGCGTGGCCCTACGTGTTATCAGTATCTGTGATATGGTGTAATTTTGAATTAAAAAAAAAAAATTGCGCTTCAAAATGATCATGAAGTGCCTCAAAAAAGAAAAAAATCTTTGAATGACTGCTTTTACCATACCGGTAATCATTTTCCCCAATAGACTGTAGTGTTATGAAAATGCAAAAATTAAATTTCGATTTTCAATCATAAATATCTTGATAATCAGACAGGCGATCAGCTTGTAAAAGTCATGGGATTCCTGACTGACCTAAAGGTTTATAATTATGATTGCAGCATGAGCTACATGTAAATCAAGTTTTTGTTTAAGGATCTGAGACAAAGTAACCTGATCCCTTTAAGGTTAAATTTCTCATTAGATATTATCTTTCTTAAAAGTAGCCCAAAATAAAGGTATTAGCCATCTTCACTTGAACAAGTAACAATAGAGGAATATTCAAATTATTTGTGTAATCAACACATGAATGGTAAATTTCAGCATGGCAGTCACATAGCCCAGATTAGCACTAGCTGAGATACATGTACCTAACAAGTTCCTCTATCATACATACAAGTGCAGAGGTTTAATGACTGTGTTTCCATGTACATTATCCTGTATACATTTTGATAAGGCGATACATAATGTTTACAATGTAATAAATTATTAATGAAATGATTATTTCAATTGAAATTGCACATTTCCCCCACTTTATAATGCTTTGATCACACAATGTAAATTTGAACTGAATTGAACTAAATTCTTTTTTATTATAAAGGTCAGAATGTAATGTACAGCCATAGCTCTTCCTTCTGACATTTAATCCCAGCGTTAAAACTTTTGTAACTTTTTGTGTGTTTTGTAATAGTTGAGTCATACTACAGTAAAACCCATCTAAGTGGTCTTTGTAGACAGGTTCCTTTACGACATTTTTCCATGAAAAAACATTTTCAAAGGAACCCAAAAATGTGGTCTTTGGACTTGTAGTCAGGTGGTCACTAAAGCCAGTTTGACAAAACTACATGTTACCTACTGAAAAAGTTTGGTTCATGGGCTAGATGTAGAGGATAAAATCGCCCCAACATTGGGGTCTGTTTGTTTTGTTTTTTTTTGGGGGGGGGGGAGGGGGGGGGGGGGGGAGAGGGCCAAACCTGAGTGACTGACAGCCACAGTCAGACTGACAACTTTTTTTTGTCATGAATTACATTACATGGAAATTGTACTTTGAGGAATCAAATCTTATGGATAGAATGGAGTGACTATATCTGAACATGCTCCTGACAGAACTACAGTGTACATCTTGTAAAACATTTCAAACAGCTAACGGTATTTTAATAGTGAATTGGAGTTTCTAGGAAGTCACCCGTAATCTATGCTTGCTAATCTGGGTGAACTAGTTCAATAAGTTCCATCATCTTTGAGTAATGGTAGAGCCACTTTTCTATTGTAATTCATTTAGGATCGAAGAAAGATGGGTGGATCAAGAGCACTATTCTATCCTACTCTGTACTGGAATGTATTCATGAAGAATGTGACATCAAGAAACTGGTATGACAGAATAGATTCAACCGTCATATTGGGTGCTTTACCATTCAGGAGTTATATCGACCAGGTTAGTACACTTAGACTAGTTAAGACAAGAAACTGGTATGACAAAATAGATTCAACCGTCATATTGGGTGCTTTACCATTCAGGAGTTATATTGACCAGGTTAGTACACTAAGACTAGTACAGTAAGACAAGAAACTGGTATGACAGAATAGATTCAACTGTCATATTGGGTGCTTTACCATTCAGGAGTTATATCGACCAGGTTAGTACACTAAGACTAGTACAGTTAAACAAGAAACTGATATGACAGAATAGATTCAACTGTCATATTGGGTGCTTTACCATTCAGGAGTTATATCGACCAGGTTAGTACACTAAGACTAGTACAGTAAAACAAGAAACTGATATGACAGAATAGATTCAACTGTCATATTGGGTGCTTTACCATTCAGGAGTTATATCGACCAGGTTAGTACACTAAGACTAGTACAGTAAAACAAGAAACTGATATGACAGAATAGATTCAACCGTCATATTGGGTGCTTTACCATTCAGGAGTTATATCGACCAGGTTAGTACACTAAGACTAGTACAGTAAAACAAGAAACTGATATGACAGAATAGATTCAACCGTCATATTGGGTGCTTTACCATTCAGGAGTTATATCAACCAGGTTAGTATGTAGACTAGTACAATAAAACAAGAAACTGATATGACAGAATAGATTCAACTGTCATATTGGGTGCTTTACCATTCAGGAGTTATATCGACCAGGTTAGTACACTAAGACTAGTACAATAAAACAAGAAACTGATATGACAGAATAGATTCAACTGTCATATTGGGTGCTTTACCTTTCAGGAGTATATCGACCAGGTTAGTAGGCCTACACTTCAATTCAAACAATACCATGTCATGGTGTATTTTGAAATCACATATAAAAATATGAATCATACAGATGTATCAAATTCAATCAGGCTCACAGTAGTTGTTTTCTGCTTGAAATTTGTTTTCATTTTCATTTTGTTTAAAGACAGAATTATAGTGTTTTTAAAAAATTGAACCAGAGTCATCATAGAGTTATGTATATATTCAAGATAATCAAAGTACATACATCTACATGTACACTGTACACTCTGTATTTTGATAATATATGTATTTGATAATTTTGATTACCAGTTTTAAGTGTACCATTTGAACGCATACTTTTGAGGACAAAGACTGGATGAAAGAAATTCCTTTCTGATGAGGTCATCTTTTATTATGTAGCCAATGAACCATAACCATTGAGGGCACTGTTAACAATGGATGAAAGGTTTTTACCTCAATGCAGGCTACATGCACATCTCCTGCTTGCTCCATATCAGTCTGCTGTACTTAACAAGGTCACATTCAAAGTTATTTTCAAATGTTCTGCACTATTGAGTGAATTACATGTACCTGTACAATCTATTATGTGGATGATTTCCCCAGGGGTGATGGCGTCTTTTGTTATTAAGCAAAGATTTTGTTGAATTTCATGACAATGTACTTTTCTCATGAGATACACCATAATCTCATTAGTACACAGTATGACCTGAACCCTCCCACGTCTTAGATGTACATGCCTTTAGATCCTTATTAAAGCCCTACTGCACTACTTGTAGCTATACATATATAGCTACAAGTATGTACTTTTCCCCTCTAAATAGAAAGCAATGCCTAAGTGGTGCTCGTTGGTCCCCCATGATCCTCTTTTTCTTATGTTATTTGAGAGCTGAGTTGATGAGATAACGACCTGTCCGTGACCATTCTGGGTGGTCTTATCCCTCCTGGCCAAACTAGTGCAGACAGGCTTTAAAGGAATGAAATCATTTCCATTACTTTTTCAATTTATCAAAGGCATGAGAAGTGTATGGACTATGGAGCATACTGTTTGTGAGTATTACTGAGTATAAGAGGATGATCATAATGAAGCATTGTCAAGACTCTCTGACTGGTTGTGTGTATCCTTGGTGAGATAAACATACAAGACCAAACAAGATAGTGAAAGCAAAATAACACTGGGCATTTTGGGAGGGAAGGTGGCATGAAATAAGAAAATACACTTATTTAAACAAAAAAATTGTACACAATCAACATACATGTACATGTATTGACCATTTTATGGTAAGGCTTTGTTAAAGGACTTCATGGCATAAAACTAAAAAATTACAAAGCCATACATGTATTTTAAATTTCAGTTAAAACTACCTTATTTCTGTCAAAATTCAAATAGGTACAATATTTCAATGTTGGCCCTTTAAACTTCCTAACGAAAGGGGGATGGTCTCATGACTGCTGAGAAAGCTCATGAATGCAATCTTCTTTTTAAAAGTTAACAGCTAACACAAACTGATTATGGGTTGAAATCATTTGGTTAATGAACATAGGAACATATGAAATAAAGACTCTTTGATTGATTTAATCCTTTGCTAATCTATTTCCATTCTATGCATCCTTTGTATCTTCCAGCTAAAAGAAGAGAATGTAAAAGGCGTTATATCTCTGAATGAAGATCATGAGCTGAGAAGACATGCTCCTACTGTAGAGGTAGGAAGGTATTCTTTATTTGTATGCCTCTGCCCACCAAAGGTGGTGCCAGAGTCATAATGCTTTTGGGTTGTCCGTCCCGCTTTCTTGTTATCACAATATCTAATCAATTTCTATTTCTTAGTTGCTGAAGAAAGAATAGCTATGTTTCCTACATAGTTATATTCAAACATATTTGCTCTGATTTTATTTAGGATGCATATTTGATGAAGAAAAAAAAATTTGTAAATGTTTAGTACGGTGTACAAACCAAATGGGAGAGAACCTCACAATCACAGACTTGCCAATTTGTGTTTGATTGATTCAAGCTACAAAACTTTCTTGTTTTTATTGATTTTTCTCAAATGTTTACTGATCCATTTCTCTTTCTTGTGGTACGGGTATTCAAATTCCTGTCAATCCAAGTGAGAACAGATTGCAGAAATGTTAGGAATGCTTTCAAATTGGTGATTTAATATCATGGTCCTTTTACATGTAGCTAGACTAAAGCTGCGGAAAATAACAAATGTTGAATATAGTGCTTTGTATCCTTAAGAAAAATGCGCTTGATGTGTCCATCTATTATCCTTCTATGAATTATGTAGAACCCCTCTATAATGTGTGCTTTATGTACCTATTTATCTTTTTTGTTTCTTCGTTTGATCTATAGGAATGGAAAAATCATGGAATAGAGCATCTTCAGCTCCCTACAGTAGACTTCACCGAGGCCCCTAGCCTGGAGTACTTAGAAAGAGGTGTAGAGTTCATTCAACAGCATGCTAATGATGGTAGCAGTGTGTACGTACATTGTAAAGCAGGGAGAACTAGGAGTGCTACACTAGTGGGCTGTTATCTTATGATGGTAAGAGGCCACATTTTGTATGTTGCACCATTCACTGGCTGCCTGCCGTAGCAATGAACAGAGTTGACAAATGATTTAACTCTGTTTTGTTGACGATCAGCCATGCTTCAAGTATTTCGTCTTCTTTGTGCATGGCTGATCGTCAACAAAACAGAGTTAAATCATTTGTCAACTCTGTTGCTACGACAGGCAGCCAATGAAAACGATTTTGTTAAATCTAATCATGGAAATGCAAGCATTACTTTAAACTAACAGAACTGTTTTATTTCTGGCTCATTTTTCCTGATTGAGGTGTCATATGAAAGGGCAGAACACAAACTTTCTAGAAATGTGATTTTCTCTTTGAAATTCAGATACCGCCCGCCAAATGACTTTTTGGGTTTTCTCTCTTCAAATCATTTTTAATCACTCATGCATGAAATATGCATCATATGAGTTGCATCAAATGAAAGAGAAGGATCTAAGCTTTAAAAATATGTGTCATTTATTAATTATAGTTGTGATTAAGTTATGATAAAACATTGATAAATCTTGGTTTTGTTTTTTCTGGGACGCACTGTATTTAACCTCTATGAGTGCTTCAAAAGAGCTTTGGAAATTATTACCCTTAGCATTAGCTCCGGCATCCGTTATAATCGGCACACAATGAATTTCAAGGACTAATTCTGCCAGGTACCCATTTACCTCACCTGGGGGGAGTCTGGCAAATGTAGATTGATGTCTTGCCAAAGGACATTAGTGCTGTGGCATGAAAAGATGATTTGAGTATGTGTTTGCTAGGTCAAATGGTAAAGGTCAGTGATCAATGAATGTTCATTTACCGGTAGGCAAAGCCATTTATAGAACCAGTCGCATTCATCTGGTCTCTTGTCTTTTGTTTTGTTTTGTTTAGATGAACCATTGTACTCCTCAGGAAGCACAGACCTTCATGGAAGCAAAGCGCCCTCATATCCTGCTCAAAGACAGACATTTCAGAGCTTTATATCGCTATTATGATAAACATGTCAAGAAAGCTCGTCCCAACAAAGACAAAAGAACAAGTGAGCCTCAAGATACCTAAATGTACATGGACATTGGACTATTATTTCTACAAAGAGAGGAATTGATCGATCAATTATGTCACGATACATCATGAAGCTTATGAGTGCACTCGGTATTCATGGTAAGGTACAAATGTAGTATTCTGTGGTATGCATGCAACTCACACTGGAGAGTGCTAAGTTTGTGTGAAGTTTATGAATATATATTTTCAGTCAAGATTTTAAAAGGAAGCTATTCAGTACAAACATGAAAGGAAAACATGGGGATAGTAAATACAAGTAACAGTAATTTCTTTTTAAAATGCTTGTTTGTTTGTTTCAAACCCATGAGTTTTATTTTCATTTACTTTCATGAAAGCAAGATTTCTGACAGTAAGTTGTCATATATTATCTTTTTCTACCAGAGCTCTTCAAAAACCAATAAGAGCTCTGGTTTGAACAAATGCATGAATAAAGAATCAGTACCATTATTATGTCAAAATCACTGTCAGAAATCTCGCTTTTATGATAGTCATTATTAAAAATGTTTGTCACATTATACATTTGTGTAAACTTTTATTTTCTTAGTTATTGAGGGCAGAATAGATTAGTTTCATGCAAGGTTGTATAATAACATGTTTGCAGTATTATGATTTATGGTGCAGGTACATGTATAATAGAAATTTTTTTTTAGGGAAGATTGTAATTTCTGATTTAAAAACAATTACAGAGCAAAGGGAGGGGACCTCAAAATATATTTGACAGAGTTGCCATTTTACGTTTTGATTGATCACACTGATCTGTTCCTTCTTTCTTCTATTGATATTGAAACCAATTTAATATCAGTGTGAACTTTCCTTTAATATGTGTAGATTGTCTGGAGTAAAATTTGTATGTACAGTACAGCCATGTCTCATGCACCCTGTACACATCGCCTGCTCCCCCCCCCCCCCACATTCCATCTCTTGAGACTATATAGGATTCAATGTGGACCCCCTCCCCTTCCTTGTGATACTATTTATTGTGGAACCCAGGTACAGGAGAGACTTTAACATATTTATAGGTAACGGTATGATGAGATTTGTCACTCGACCAGACACACAAGAATTTATTTGTCATACTTAAATAGTATACTATGGGATTTAGTGCTCAAAATGACTGGTTGACCATATGTGACCATGAGTAAATCCTGCATTACATTATTTTCAAGCAACCTAAAGGTATCTTCCTTGCATTCCTCGGAGGCATGTAAACTCTATGTATGTCATTGTCACTGTAATTTACCATCACAATGTAATAAAGCTACTGTAGCAACTAAGCCCAAATTGTCTGGGATCCAAATAAAAAGTTAAAGGGAGAGACTTGGACTTGCACTTCAAACTTCACATGAATTTTAACTATCCTATGATGATAGCAGGACCACTTCTTTGTTTGCACAGCCTCACCTCAAACAAGTCTTTAACAGAAAAGTGACAGATCTAGGTCACAGACGGACTTCCCACTGAGCCCAGAATATCAATGGTACAGCAGTATGGAGTTTCCCTTCAAGACAATTGGTTACATTGTAAAAGATGACCTAATGATGTTTAAACGTCCTGATCTTGTCATCTCCATGAAGTGAGTCGACCACCAGGCTCCTTCGCGCATGGCTATATGTCCTGGTGGTTGTACTTAGTAAACGGCAAGTGGGGATGATAAAAGTACCTTTGGGCAACACTGGTCCTACCTATCCACATGTTCATTGTAAGATTTAAAATGCTTCAAAAACCCATAGGCCGGTATTCTGAAGTTGTGTCTAACTTAGTCATGACTAAAGTTAAACAACTGTTGAGTTAGACAGGAGTTAAACACAAGGTCGCGGTCATGACTAAAGTAAGACCAGTAGTAGACATGACTTTAAACAACGACTTAGTCTGGACTTCAGAATACTGGCCTTTACAGTTTTTACTGACTTATGTGAACAAATCCTTACTGTTATACAAAATCAACAATCAGACTCTCAGAGTCAACCGTTTAGACTAATTACACCCTGTTTGTGGTTGTTTTGTACAGAGTAGGTCTTGTAACACCTCTGAGGACACAGCACTGTTTTATTGTATTTTCATGTTATATGATGAACATTCAATTGCAAGGATGGGATACTTGATTAAATAAGGATTAACTTATCAATTTCATCACATTGTAGCAGTCTAAATGTAAGTTTTAAACATTTGATAGATGTTGTACATAGATCTAGAAAGGCAAATTCTTTTAAAACCTGAATTCACTTTACAGCAGCTTGCGTGGACTGTGCCTTACACAATTTGCTACTTTCAACTTGAAATGCATATTCATTTTTCTTTCAGTGAATCTGATTGGTGGAAACAGATTAAAAATAGGAGGGGAATATTTTGATGATGCAGGAGTTCGAAATGCCAATTAAACTTTCATAAATACTGATATAGAGGTTATTGCTCAATTAACTGAGGGGCTTAAGACGAAAGTTCAGAGTAAAGTTAAGTCAGCTTTCAGTGCACACACCCAATGAAGACGTTAGCATATACTTGTGACTATATAGGTAATAGACCATCTCTTAATTTAATTTAGTATATCATGTGAGGTCTTCCAAAGGTTGGTTCATGATGAGTTACCTTTAGTGGAATGAAGAACTCTTTTTTTCAAGTGTTTGTTTTCAGTCAGTTCCAAGCTTTACTGAATATCATTTCCAGATATATATATTTTCAAAAACACGTACTATAGATAGTTTCATGAAAATCTACAAACTTATGTTATAACAAACCAATTTGAGGTACTTTCACAATCAGGCCTAAAAAAAGATGTTTTATTGCTCTTTAGGTGCCAAAATATGGCTCAGCCAGTTGGAAATCTTTTTGATTTTTTTTCTTCCACTTTGGGCTGATATTTCTCAGTTTTGAATGCTTCAATACTTATTTTTATATTCATTTAATATTTTTTTCTCTAAAAAAACGGTAATCCCTTTAAAAAACCGCCCATAGATTTCGTGATTTTGGGGTCTTTCGCAAATGGCAAGACAACATTTTTTTGTTGTAATGCCTTATGGAGCTCTCTGCCAATCATTGATTGAATTTGTAAAACATTCACATTTATACAGCTTTGTTACAAAATGAATAAAAACAAAACCTAGTGTAAGTCATTCCCTACCAAACCTTTATACAATTCAATATTCCATAAATTTGATGAATTATTGAAAGGAAACCCAAATGCTGTTAAAGTACCTCATATCATATTGTTAATTTGTGGGTTTTATTTATTACAATGTCTATAATATCTAAATAAAGTTTATCTTGAAATATCATTCTGTATTGCTTGGAATTGACCTTTGCTAGAGTGTTCATTTACTCTCTTGTTAGCTATATTGCATATAACCTTGAATGAGGTTTAATTGTACAATACTCTCCTTCACATGAATTGATTCCTTTATTATGTAAGATTATAAATTGTAAGAAATAAATTGTTAGGTAAAGGCATAATTGAAATTTTCATGCAGAATTGGTAAAAGTTTGCCTCTTAGATGAATAGTGGATGCCATTGTAAAGTTTAAAGGAAGAAAGATTACTTTCATCATATGAATCATTCTGTAACATATTTGAATTGTAAAGGGCAAATATGACATGGAAAATGTCATATTGAAAAGGGCACTATATATATATATGTATACATACTAGCGTATCACCTTTAATCAGCTGGAGATTTGACAATTCTGTGTGAGTACTATGATATCCAAGAGATAGTAAACTTGATCAGAGAAGCAATTCATGACTTGTACATGTATGTGATTGTGGACCCACAGGATCAGTGACGCCCTTGAGAGGCTGAAGGGTCCAAAAGAAATGATGATCAGTTATGAACTCACAACAGTGCAACACTCCTGCATGCTTCAAAGCTTCTTCAAGCACATCACTGAAAGGTGGAAGAGGGCATTAATGACAATATTTAATCTGATATTCCATTCACAGCTAAATACGACAAGCTGCCGATTTAGATAATATGCAAAATATTATAATTACTAAAAGTTGAGGTGTATTATGTCTGCCATGCCATGGTGAGGATTCTTTAAAAAAAAAAAAAATCTCTTTTTACACTTTGTATTTTTATATCTCATGTCTCAGTATATCATTTATTTGCAAGGTAATTTTGATGGTTTAATTAAATGCATTAAGAGGCTTTCATTGATACAAACTTATCATAATATATAGTTTTCACTTATTACTGCATAATATATGCCTCTTGTCAGGAATTGAAGTGAGACTCTCAATTTGACTCGAGGTTTACGATCAGCTGATATTTGTAAGTGTTAAATTCAACAACATCTGCTTTTTATAAGGTCTTGCACAGATTTCTGAACAAATATATGATATTGATTTTATACAAAATGTCTTCTTTTTGTATTCATTCGTGTGTGATTTTTTGGGGTATCACGTGACCAAGGGTACTACGGATCAATCTTTAATTAAAACTGCAGAAGCGGTTCACTATTTTAGAGGCGAAATTGACGAGTTTGGAGATAGCTTTAATTCATTTTAATAATAGTCTCCGGCCTTCTTCACAAGTGAGTCCGCAACACCCTGTAAAATATTTGTAATAAATGGAGATGGTCTGTATGCAAGCTCGCCCTTTACCCATTTCCTCCATCTCTCTTCCTCTCTCTCTGCTCATCTCTTATTGTCAGTCTGTTTATACTACCTTCTCTCCTCTTCATTGAAAAACTCTCGATGTCTATCACTCCATCATTCCCCTCATTTCTCTGTCGCTCAATCTCTCTCTCTCTCTCTCTCTTTGTCTCCCCCTCCCTTCAACCCATTCCCTTTTTCCATCTTGTTCTCTTAATAATTACATGTAAATGTGTTTTCACTTTGGCGTTTGTGTTTACGTACATGTGTGGACATTGGTAAGTGTCTTTTGTGTGGTGTGAGTGTGTGTGTATTAGAGGGGGTAGGGGCAGAGGCAAAAGATTTGTGAAAAAATCGTCAAAATTAATGTTAAACCAACACAAAAATATCAGAATGGGAAACAGTGGGGGTTTCGACCTTAAAAGCCGTCGCACAGTGGGCCAGGGAGGAACCAAAGTGCGCCAAAACTCATGTTTGGGGATTTATTTTTTATAAATCCAGAGGAAATGTTTGGATTTCCAGGGATTTTCGTTTAAATTTTATTACCAACATTTTCTCTGATGTCTAAGCTTTAAGTTGATACCAGATTTGGCTGCCCGATTCTGCCCGTTATTATGGTAGAGCCGTTTTCCTTGCAACATTGCCCCGAAAAATGTGTTTATTTTGGTCCGCGGTGTCAGAACAAGTGTCACGCACCCCCTCGCGCCGTGATTTATGACCACGAATCCTTCATGATTCAGCCGCGGACCCCCAAAACCCACATTTTTCGGGGCAATGTGGCAAGGGAAATCGGCTCTAACATAACAACGGGCAAGATCGGGCAGCCAAATTTGGTATCAACTTAAAGCTTAGACATCAGAGAAAATGGTGGTATTAAAATTTAAGCGGTACACCGCGGAGATCTAAACATTTCCTCTGGATTTATAAAAAACATGGGTAATTAGTCCATTTTTCCGTGAATTACCCTATAATATGTCATGAAGATTGTGTTTCTATCAATTTTAACCCATTCATTCAACGAAATGAACTATCAGGAATATGTGAGAGCAATTTCATATCAATAACTTAAAAACTTCATTTTGAATTGAAAGATTTATAAAATAAGTCACTTTTGCACTAAAACTGTGAATATGTAGGATTTTGCTGTTTGAAGTAGTAAATTTATACCCTTATTGTGCATACCGGAATTAAATATTTCACTGAGGTATTCCTCTATGTATTACCTTTCAACTGGGCAAGAAAAATATTGGAAAACAAAAATCACCCAAACCTAGTTTTGGCGCACTTTGGTTCCTCCCTGGCCCACTGTGCGTCGGTGCGGCCGACGGGGATGAAGGGGTTAAAAGCGGCTGGCTCCTTCTCTCTTTTCCTTGTCCCCTAACCCTATACGTCATGTCTTGTTGTATCCCCCGGCAGTATGCCGGTGGGGTACTTTGGATTCAGCAGCGTTACGCCGCCGCCGCCGCCGCCGCCGCGTCATATTCTTGTGTGCGCTCTAACTGCCTTATTCCTTGATGGATTTCTTTCAAATTATTTTATGGAGGTTTATCTTGGTAAAATCTACACACCTATAACTTTTGATGATGCTGCCCTCAGTGTTCCGTCTTCTATAGGGTAAAATGCCATATTTTTGCGGATGGTTTGTGTGCGCTCTTTAGGCCACATTTCTTAAGGGTTTTTGTTCAAATTTTGAACGAAGGTGTATCTTGGTATAATCTAGAAGCCTATAGATTTGGGTGATGCTGCCTCCAGTGTCCCGTCTTTTATAGGGTCAAAGATCATATTTTGGTGGATGTCAAGTGTGTGCTCTGCTGGTAATATATTACATGACAGATTTCTTTCAAATTTTGAAAGGAGTTATATCTTGGTACAATCTACACTTCTACACTTTTGGGGGATGCTGCCCTCATTGTTCCGACTTTTATATGGTCAGAGGTCATATGTCATATGCTCTAACTGCCGCATTTCTTGACGGATTTCTTCAAATATTGTATGGAGGTGTGCGTGCCTTAGTACATTCTACACATATTTAGGGTTTGGTGATGCTGCCACCTGTGTTCCGTGACTGTTATAGGGTCAAAGGTCGTATTTTGGTGGCTGTCTTTTGTGCTCTCTAACTGTACATTTCTTAAGATAATTCTTTCAAATTTTCTACAGAGATGCATCAGGCGCGGATCCAGGATTTTCCAATAGGGGGGGGGGGGGGGGGGGGGGGGGGGGGGGGGGCCGGAAGTTTGAAAATTGCGCCGACCGTTTTTTTCAAGGTCATATTAGAAGCACCATACCATTACAATTTTTGACATTTTCATCGGGGGGGGGGGGGGGCTATAGCCTCTTATCCGAAAAAGTAACTTTCTGGTTTCACAATTCGGCTAGTGAGCGAAGCGAGCGAGCAACAATTTGAGCAAAATATGTATTTTGTGAAAGTGTTATTTATAACCAAAATAAACGAGAAAAGATATCAAAAAATCATATGCGGGTAGCTCGCTAACCCCCCCCCCCCCCCCCCCCCCCAAAAAAAAAAAAAAAAAAATGACGCGCGAAGCGCGGAAGCTTTGACCTTTCATTAATTATTAGAGAAAGAAGACGATTTGTTGTACCATTCTCGACTCTTAATCCTTCTCTGAATTCAGTTTTCCCCCTCCCGCACAAAGCGCGGAAGCTTTGACATTTTATAGTTTAATGAAATGATTAGAGAAAAAGATGATTCGTTGTTCCATTCTCGACTCTTAATCCTTCTCTGAATTCAGTTTACCCCCTCCCGCGCAAAGCGCAGAAGCTTAACGTTTCATTAAATTATTAGAGAAAAAAGACGATTTGTTGTACCATTCTCGACTCTTATTACTTGACTGAATTCACCCCCCCCCCCCCCCCGCGCCTTATTTTTTCGTACCACGGCGAGGCCGGATTCCTGTTTTATCATGAATATTCATTAGGCAGGGTCGGGGAAAGTCTCGATTCTCTTAAATATTCATATCGAGGTGGGAATGCACGACGCGCGCTATACTCGCACAAAGTGAGAAGATTTAGTTCACGGAGAATGCATATGGGTGAGTAATTGATTGAAATATCAGTAGATTAAGAGAATTTAGTCATTAATTTGAAAAAGCTGTAATTCGTGATCTACTGTAATTTCTTTTCATTTTGAGACTGTTCTCTACAGATTTGTGGGGAAAAGGCTAGGAAAATATTTCTCTTGAAATTGCACTTTGATTTTCATCGTCGTGAAGTAGTTTGACTGCGGTTTGCCTTCATGTCACCCTTTAGAGCCCCGGGGTTCCGGCAGGCCCACGTTGGGGAATTTCGGTGCTCATCTGCATCAAGATAAAACTTTCTGATCAGGTTTTATTCCAAATTTGATCGTCATCGTGAATCTAATTCACCAATCATCCATTGAATTTAAATCTAGATTTAACGTTACACCTTAAAATATCTATGAAGTATGATTTCTTTAATAATCCAAGAGGGTTAATTCTTGTTTATATCTTTAGTAGATGTCGACTCTGTTGGCTATACTAGTATTAGATGTCGACTCTGTTGGCTATACTAGTATTACTAGTATAGCCAACAGAGTCGACATCTACTAAAGATATAAACAAGAATTAACCCTCTTGGATTATTAAAGAAATCATTCCTATGATTATTTTAAGGTGTAATACTATTACTAAGACTAAGTGCTATCCGTTCGCTCAGTTGCATCATTGGTGCGTGTCAACTTTTAGACCAAAATTGTTTGTGACCATGGATAATCAAACGGCTCCAAACCATATTTCATTTAGACGTAAACCTGGAACTTATTAATAAAAATATTCAAAAACAAACAAACTAGACCTAGGATTCATTTATTTAATGTTCAGATGTTGTGTGTGTCCAGTGTGCTTGTCAAGTTGTCATAACTTTTCTAGATCTAGACCTATATTAAAGATTTTTTCTTCTCCAAAGTGTGCAGTTCATTTGATAAATCTATTTTTTGTTGGACGTTGTATAAGAGAAGACCCCTAGGGTAGTCGACAATTATGTTTACTTATACGCAGAGGCGGCGGAGCCTTTTGGCGGAGCAACTTCCAAAGTGGGGGGGGGGGGGGCACCAACAAAAAGGGCACTTTCTTGAGAAAAGGGCACCTTCAGAGGGAAAATATACCATTTTTTGACATTGGTATATACCCCTATTTTGTGATTACATTATCAGGGATGATTTCAATATTTGTTTCTCTTAATACAGCATTTAAGATATTGCTTAAGTATCATACTTTGCAGTTTTTGGCTTGCAGTGCGAAAAATTACATCTTATAAAGAGGAAAACCCAATCCTGATGGGGTTATATAAGCACAATCTCATAACGGAAGACTGAATAGATCTGTGATAAGTTACATAATTATAACGTCTATAACTATGGGCAAGCGTAGCGAGCGAGCTTTGTGGGAAATTGCTTTTAGTCGCTTGAAATTAGGGACACGTTTAATGATGAGAGGAAAAGGGGACACTTATCGAAAGGGTTAAGACACTTATCAGAAAAGAAAAGAAGCATGTGTCAAAGTACAAAGGCTAATTTTCAGAGGTGAAAATAGGGCACTTCTTACACCTAAACAAAGAGGCATGCACCAGGGATGATAAGAACATGGGCATTTGTCGACGGAAAAGAGGCACCCATCAGATTTTGATAGGGGGCATTTATAAGCAGTGAAAAGGGGCATTTATGAAAAAGGGATAGGTTCTTTATAAGAAAGGAAATAGGTTACATATCATTGTTAAAAGGGTAATGAGAAGGGGAAGTGGCTCTTATTAAAACGAAAAAGTGGCACATGTTTAAATAAACGGGGCACTTATCAAAGACGAAAAGTGGTACCGGTAATTATGATAAGGGGTAAGGGTGCTTATAAGGAAAAAAGGCATTATATAGGAAGGAAAAGGAGGACGTGTCAAAATAAAAGGGGCATTTATAAGAGATGAAAAGAGTACTGACTAGGAGGGGAAGGGGTGCTTGTCAAAGTAAAACAAGTATCTCTCAGAAGTGAATAGGGTCATTTACAAGAGATGAAAAGGGGCACTTAAGAGAATGAAAAGGAACTATTTTCATAGATGAAAAGGGGCATTTATGAGAAGGGAAAGGGCCTATTTTTAAATGGGGGCACTTATAAGAAAAAGGGGCACTTATTAAAAATGAAAGGGAGCACATGTGAAGATATAAGGTGCGCTTATCCAAGTTAAAAGGGGTAGTTATTAAAAGGGGAAGGGGCACTTTAAAAACTTAATAGGGGCACTTGTCAGAGTAAAAGGGGCACTTTCCTATGTAAAAAGGGGCACTTTTCGTATGCAAAAAGGGGCACTTTTAGGGTACTTGACCAAATGGGAGGGCACTCTGCCCCCCCCCCCCCTCTCGGAGCGCCGCCTCTGCTTAAATGGTATGTAGTCCACCTCTTCTTGTTATAATAAACTAATTCTACTTAGTACTGCTTCGTGTTCATAGGCCATAGAAACCACTGTTTGATGCACAAGTTAAATCTTCCATTTAGTTTTACTTTGTACTGTGGTTCATTAAATAGGAATGTTGATTTCCACACCATATTAAAATAAGGCCAACCATGACATAAAAATATCTATTAATTTGAATTATGCTAGATCTATTTTATTTTGTTAAGGAGAAAGGGATGCCTTGATTGTCGTATTGATTTTCTTCTTCTTTTTGTTCCAAAAGATTGAAACTGAAGAGCTGGAAGGAGGACATTACAACATCTCTTATATTTGCAAGATGAAGCAGAAAGTCCCATGCATGTACAGTTATCAGGTTATTTAGCACACACATATTAAACGACCACCTATTAATTCACTCAAAAGGAAATGGAACTAAGTTGACATTGCAAGCATATATAGTGGAGGGTATATTTTATTCTAGTTCTGCACCTAGTATACAAATATTGATGTCTTTTCTTTCTATGTTTACAAAGGAAAATTTGTCCTTATTTACAGGAGGTCCTGTGTCTAGAAGAGCCATATCAAAGCACATTGTAAGCACTACATGTAGGGTATACACAGGACCCCTCATTTTTTTTTTGTAAGGGGTACTTTCACTTCTTGAGCAATGAAGATGAAGAAGAACACAAAATAAGATTGATAAAAGTCTGTTTATAGGATGTATTATGGTTGATATGTATCCATCAGTATCAGTTTTTAATTGAAGTACATGTACCTACTTTGTTTTCTCTCATGTAGGATGATGCCTCTCTACAGTGGATGATGAAGGCATGCTGGCTGGCAAACTCAGGAGAGGAACAAAGAACAGATGTTGACGGGATCATATCTAGAGATGCGGGCCTACTACACTTCATACGAGCAAGTGTGCTAATATACATGAAGGTACCCCCAATAAATTTTTGTGGAACAAATGTCATGGAGAAAAGTATAGATCTGAAACAGATATTTTTCATTGTCAGTTGACTTGTAAAAGAATAATTGACTTAATATCACAATTGTAATTTAGATTAAAAATTAAATGTCAATATAGATGAAATATAAGTCTACATTACGTATGTTTCAGTAGCATTATTTCCAGGACATTCGCTGGTCAAAGTTGTTTAGTCATTTTATGTCCCATACTTAACCGAGTATTATTCAATTACCGGTATGAGCACGAGTTGTATTACATTGTATTACTTATTTCATACCTTGTCTGATCCGAGCTCCAGCAGGCCTATCGTCTTAATGGGATCATCAGTAATAATTTAAGATGCGGTCAGTATTTAAACTAGTCTTGTACAAAAAATAGTTTAGGTTTGCCCACTAGAACCCCAGTGAATTTCAGTCCTTCCTTTTTCTGAGCAGGTATCAGGGTGTATGTTATTAGTCATTGTTGATTTTTTTTATATCTTATTTCATTTTTCCATTCAACAGACTTGGGTTATATTTTTTTCTGAAAACTAGGCTACAACTTTAGTGATGGATGCAGAAGATATCTACACGAGACTACGTCTTAAAGATGCCACCCTCATATAATGAAAGAGGACAATAGAGATGGGTTTAAACTGGAATATTTACATGATATTTATTTGTTATTTGTATTATATGTTTGTAGAATACTACATTCAATAAAGCTAATGAAGTTTATCATCTTGTCGACTTTCAAATAATTAAAGATAACTAATCCTCAACGAATAAACATTAAAATTCTAACAATGTCAACTACCATCTTATAGGATGAAACTGAGGACTGGGCAGAAAGATTCTCCTTCAAATTTGATTGATAAAGGTCTATCAGTCTATATCAAAGATTGAATTAATCAATGATATTTTGATTATAATTATACATGTTAAAATTCATTTACCTCTATGGACTTCTGTATGGGAAGTTTTGTAGATTATGAAATTATTGCTACTTCAAGTATTGTATGTAAGAAGGTTTGAAAGACAACACTCTAAATGCATTAAATATGGAAACTGCTAATCCTCATTGCCTTTCGTATCCAAACTGGTAGCTTTCATAGAATCATGTTCGATGCTTCCCAACTAAAGAAAACAGGGAGTGGGGGGGGGGGGGGGGGGGGGGCTTGCTATCCTCTTATCTTATCCTCTGTACAAATATGATTATATGTTTATATTAGAAGGATTTAGAAAGTGAAATTTTGAATTATAGCATTACTGTTGGTAGAAGTAATGGCAGTGTCGGGAGGGGGGGGGGGGGGGTTCCTGGTGAAATTTACGGTATGCCAATGTCAAATTAATAAAAAAGAGAAAACTATTCTTAATAATAAAAATTATACAGTACATGGGCCTCCTAACAAAAACCCTGGTACCACTGTTGTGTTTTGAGTGTTGTTTTTTTTTTTTGGGGGGGGGCTGGCAAACCAATTACAAATTTCCAGTGTTAAATTCAAATTTTTTCTATAACAAAATTATGTCAATATATTGTAATTAAACAATGTTTCACTTTCCTTTTTTTCAAGTTAGATATTTGAATAAAATGATTAACATAATTTCCGGTTTCTCTGGCCTTTACATTAAAAATGTTTTACTTCTAGCAAAGCTCCTGGAAAGGCTGCAAAAAGGGAGAGTGAAGAGAATGAAATTGAAATGTGGACAGTAATGGAGTGAATATGGAATGTTTGATGGTAGTTGATAACGAGTGAATGCAAATGAGTGGCAACAAGTACGACTGAAAGTGAGACAGAAAGGAATTGCAACAGGTTGCTCAGTCAAGAGAACAAACCTTGCAGAAGATAGTTTTCGAAAGACAGAGAAAGAGAGAAAAGGGGAATTATAAAAAAAAGGAAAAGGGGGCATGTGTCAAAGGGGCATTTATGAGAAAGGGTTGGGGTTGGGGCTCCTATTAAACAGGGAAAGGGGCACATATCAAAAGGTAAAAGGGCACTTGTTAGAAAGTTTAAGGGGACGCGTGTCAAAGTAAAAAAAATGAAAGGGCTTTTATCAGATATCACAAGGGGCACTTATGAAAATGGAACAGTGGCACTTATTATGAAGTTAAAGGGGCATTTGTTGAAGAAAAAGGGGCACCTGTCAGATTTGAATAGTGGGTAATTATCGCCAGGGCCGTAGCCAGAGTTTGGGGGGGGGGGGCACATACATGTAATTGATCGACGTCCTGGGGAGGGGTCAAAAAGAGTTCAACCGATCTTGGATTTTTTTTCTTCAATGTATGTGAAAGTATGTGTAGTTTTCTCTCGAGTTTGTCTCATCATGCGTGGGATCTGTGGGTGCTGGGGTTCCTGCAGCAACCCTGTACATGGATTTTCTTCAGTGGGTGCATATAACTCGTGGACTTCACATTGTAAACCTTCAAATGATGAATTATCATCGAGTCCCCCACCCCCACCCCTTCCCTCATTATCTTAGAAAGAAACCAAAGAGAACTTTTAAGAGAAAAAGAGAAAGGAAAGGAAAAAATGGTAGCTAGGCCTAAACAAAAACAAGAGGCAAGATAAAAGAAAACAAGATTGAAGATATGGTATCAATATTATCTTGCTCCTTTCCCTTTTTCTTTTGTCTTCTTTTCATTTCAATTTTCTTGCAATTTATTTCTTTCTTCCTTGGTATCTATTCCGTATTCTTTTTTTCTTCCATTCATTTATTATTTATATATATTTTACTTTTTAACTTTGTTATTCTTCTTTCTAATCCCATTTTTCTTTCTTCCTTTTCTTCCTTATGCAGTTAAGTGAGCATAGATCATAGAAATAATTTAAGTGCAATACACAAGCATTTTATTTTTGATAAATGTCTGTATGTAGGCCTATTCTTGTTATCTATTTTATACAGTTTATAATACTGTATCACATATTCAATACCATAATGCAACCTCTGCTTGTAATATTTAAAAAGCAAACCTAGAACTGATTATTTACCAATTCATGAAAAGAACTAGACTCCCATTAATCTCAGAAAAGTAGGCCTAGGCTACTCACAAATTGCCTATCAAGACTCTTACTTGAAATATATGCTATATATCTTGTCTACCGGTACTGACATTTTGGCATTTACTAGTAATTAAAAACAGCATTTATGACTGTATTATCTAAATGACCATGACATTGCTTTTCTATGTCATATTATAGGCCTGCCATTAATCCAACGTACTTGTTACACACGATATTCGATGCTGCGCTAGCCTCTTGTCGATGCCCTCGCGCTGTTGGAGTCTCTAAATTCTGACGAGCGAAGCGAGTCAGAGAAACCGAGGCGCTTGCGCGGAGGGCCTCTTGACAAGTGATCTGAATTTCTTATGTTTTACTTTGTTTGGCGAATATTCCGACCCAGCAGAGTTCGGTGAAAGTCATCCAATCAGAGAGAGCTACTATGACGTAATATCTACCGCTCTGTGCGAATTTCCTCCGTGAGAGCGAGACTGGCCGCCTAGTAGTAGTCTGCAAGCACAAACCCTGGTCAGTCGTAAAAGAGAGTGTGCACTATAAGACTACCATATGCCACGTACTATAGCTGCTCCTGACCTATATTGGTACAACCAGTAGGTACCAGTAGATAGCTGGGCTAGGCTTCTCTCAAGGCACAATGATTTTTTGATAAAGTGTCAAATTAGGGTCTGTGCTTGCAGACTAGCCTAGTTGGGCAATCCCGAACACACACGTACACACACACAATCGCTGCGGTCTAGACATGCATAATTCAGTAGGAAATCGGGTCTCATGAATATATAATTCAGATCACTTGTCAAGAGGCCCTCCGCGCAAGCGCCTCGGTTTCTCTGACTCGCTTCGCTCGTCAGAATTTAGAGACTCCAACAGCGCGAGGGCATCGACAAGAGGCTAATGCTGCGCATGCCTCGATCATACATGAATATTCAAGAGAATCGAGACTTTCCCCGCCCTGCCTAATGAATATTCATGATAAAACAGGAATCCGGGCTCGCCGTGGTACGAAAAAATAAGACGCGGCCCGGCCCCCCTCTATTCAATAACGTTTGCCAATGAGCCTTCTGAAATGTCCCCTAATCTCCCGATTACAGTTTTCTCATATTTGTCGTTATTGTCACTTAGCGCCATTTCCTTGCCTTTCCCCTTTCTCACCGACTTTTCTTTTCCCCCACCCCCCTCACCCTCTGTTATCTAGGGTACGCACATGTATGTTCCCTCTCTTTGAAAGCACCCCTCTGTCTCCGGTGTGTACAGTCAGTACGGGCCGGATTTTTGTGTATTGCGGGCCGGACTTTGTTATCGGAAATTTAGGGAACACAAATTCGGTCCGTCCGACCCCGGAGTTGGAGGGAGGGGGGGGGGGGGGGGGGGAGGGGCTGTTTATTTATCTTTTCTCGTCTATTTTCTTTTCTCTTCTTTTTTCCTTTCTCTCCTCCTTTCTTTTCTCTTCTCCTTTTTTTTCTCCTCTTCTCCTTTCTTTTTTTCTCTTCTTTTCTTCCTCTTTTTTTTCTTCCTTTTTTTTGCGCCGCCAATAGGGGGGGGGGGGGCCGCGGCCGTTTCGGCCCCCCCCCCCCCCCCTGGATCCGCCACTGATGCATTATACTCTTATCTACACACATATTGGTTTGGTAAAGCTGCTCCTATCCTAGTCTTGACAATAGTCCGATCCACTAGTGGCGATCACTATATCATCCTTTTGTTTCAGAGGGGGGGGGGGGGGGCGGACGATATCTTTGTCCCTCCTTCGAACATAAGGATGACACAAAATCGCTGCCACTGCCGGGGGATACACCCGCATTGCGCGGCAATACAGATTGCGATATTTCTAGTTTGTCCTGTATTCTAGGGGCTATTCGTACTTT